AGGATGTTCTAAAGTAATTGAACCCGCCTGTGTGGACTTTGACGAAAAGGAGACAATTATTTAAAGTGCTGGATGCAACTGTGGTAATCCACGGGGTAATGTAAATGAATTTACTGTAAGAAACAGAGTAGAGAAAAATAATTCGTCTTGTCAATTGGATTCTAAAGTAATTGAATCAGCCTGTGTGGACTTTTGACAAGAAAAGATAATTATTTAGAATTTTAGATACAACTGTGATATTTTATAGAGTAAAGATTTTTTTTTTGTACATACGTTTGACTTGTTTTAAATATATTATTTTAAACTAAGAAGATTGTGTACTGTCTGTTTATTGTTTGAATTTATCGCCAACAAGTCACAGACACCCACTGTAGAAGAATCCCGGCCCATTTATACTATAACCCTGACATATATAAGGATAAGCTGCGTAGTGTATTAAAGATTTTTTTGTGTCAGTCAACTTTCAATATAACATTTTAGTGTTAGAAAAGAAATAGTTGCAGATTTTTTGAAAACGGTCGGTAGTCATATATAAAATGCCAGAAATCTAGTAAGATGAGGAAATTTTCCGAAAATTCCGTGTAGAATGGCTATGTTATGTTAGGTTTTGTTTGTTTGTTTTAGACAAATATACTAAAACTATATTCTGTTGTTCCTAATTATGAACTGCCGATTAGAAGAAAAGCGAATAGCCGGCCGCACCTACCGCCAACTCCCAGGCTACTCTTTACCAATAAATAGTGAGATTAGCCGTCACATTATAACGTCTTCACGGCTGAAAGGGTAGGCATGTTCGATGCCGAGTTTCGATCCCGTGACCCGAAGATTCAAGCCGAGCGCCATAACCACCAAGCCATGGTAGGCTAGGTCTAGATAGCTATGAATTTATACTTAATTCTAATTGATTAAAATACCACCAAATGAGCTTAAATTGCCTTACCACGTTTACGAATGTTGATCTGTTAACTAGTAAGTAAGTGCAGAACTTGCATCATATTAAATAGTGTATCAAATATTTGTGTGTATGTCAACTTTCAATATAACATTTTAGTGTTAAAAAAGAAACAGTTTCAGTTTTGTGAAAACGAAATAATGCTATTGTACTTATATAAGGATCATTGTGGCTCAGTGGTTAACATGTCGAGCTGTGGATCGTAGGTCGCAGGATTCGAGTCGTCATGTCGCTGAACATACCCCACTCTGTCATAGGTATTTTTAAAAAAAGTGGCTGTCAGTGGCATTATTCAGTTCAAAAAACCAAACAAAGCCCTAGTGGCGGAAGGTTCTGTTGGCTAGCTGCCCCATCTTTAGTCACTAATTCCAATTATAAGAATGGCTATACCTGAATCCTTGTCTGTTCAGCTCAGGTGCGCATGAAATGCCTTGCCGGTTATCAACTACAATTTATGTTTGTTATATAAAAGTTTTCCTCAAATCTCAGTTGCAAGCCCCCAGTGGCACAGCGGTATGCCTATGGACTTACAACGCTAGAAACTGGGTTTCGATACCCATGTTGGGCAGAGCACAGATAGCCCATTGTGTAGCTTTGTGCTTAAACTACAAAAAAAACTCAGTTGTATGCTCGAGCATTCAAACTGAGAAATAACAAATAAATGCTAAAAACGTTAAGACACGCGATATGAAAAAAACACACTTTGAACTAATCACATTCATATTAAAATATGTATAAAAATTCCTTTATTATTCGATAACCTGAAGCCTCCCCCCAGTGGCACTGTGGAATTACAGCGATAGAATCCGGGTTTCGATAACCGTGGTGGCCAGAGCACAGATAGCCCATTGTGTTACTTTGTGCCACAACAACAACAACATAACTTGAAGGAATAGTGCTTATATATGGTATTATTATTTCTTGTGTGTGTGTTTCATTCACTTCACTTGTGCTGCTTTTAGTACGAACATTTAATTAAGTCTTACTTAATACACGTCAGGGTTAAAACTTTAATATTATAGCCTATGTTTTAATTTAGTTGTTTCTAAAAACTTATATTGTTGTTTAGCCAGAATGAAGTTTAACGCAACATGACGGGCGTGACCTTAAAACGTCTGGAACTTTCTTCAAAGATTATGAAACATTTGGAGCCGTATATAAAATAATGAGTCTGTTACTGTGAGTTCTTAAGTTAGCGAGTTTATTAGTCAGTTAGTGAGTTATTACTGCATGATAAAGTCAGGTACTATCAGCCAATTTGTTAGTTCAGTCAGTGCTCTGAATGTAGAGTTTGTGTTTCAAAGGCATGCCAGTGAACGCTAATTATACACTAAACGTGTAACTTAAAGAAATAAAAATTTTTGTTCTCGTTAAATGGACTGGACTTTGCATTACAACACTAGTAACATTTCAAATTCCACTCAAGACATTCTGTCACTTTGTCAGAATGTGTTTCATAAAAACATGAACAACCACAATTATTTCGGGATATCGTTTTTTTTTTATTGTAGAATTTTGCAAAAGTTACAAAAGGGGCTGGGCTATCTGTGCATAGCGGTCCCTCATTTTGAGCTGACAGATTAGAGGGAAGGCAGCTAGTCAATAGTACCTACCACCAACTCTTGAGCTACTGTAATCTGGTCGATAGTAAGATTTGACTGTCACTCTTATAGTGCACCCATGGTTCTAAAGTTTGTTTGCGACAACGGGTCTCGAGCCATGAATATGAGATGCACAATCTGGGAATGACAACCACTAAGGTCATGCCCGAACCCTTAGTTGTTATGAAGCACTAAGTTGCACAAATAACTATCTGTGGTGTCTCCGCCGTAGGAATATAACAAATATGAAATATATATTACGGAAGAATGAAATATGAAACATAACGCCATAATGTGAATGTTTTTGTCGCAAATTCGGCCTAAGTGGGGTTTGTTTAAGTGAATTTAAAAAGGTTGATATTACGACATGATAAGTGGCTAGGCACTGGTACACGGGGACCGTGCCCCGATTCCATCTGACAGTGCTTCGGTTCCCCAGTTGGTGTCTTAAAAAATCAGAACAGAAAACCATGATCGATATGATCGAAAATTCCCGCGCCTATTTGCCCGAGCTCCGTATCTTTTAAGCACCTAGCAACCCCTCTGATTACAACTTATCTCTAACAATCTTGGCATATAATTTATATACGTCGTTTTATAATTCAAACCAATTCCGTTACATTAATTAATGTTTCATGTTACTCTTATAAATACTTTTTAATTAATAAAATAACTAACATTTGTGAACTATAAAATGTTTTACTAACTCGCCGAATTATAAAAACATGAGTAAATGAAGTATTTCGAAATTTCATTCGAAACGCCAAAGTTCACTAGCATAACGTGCAAAATCAACCAGACAGCACAAATTATTGAGCTGACCGCATGTAGTACTAAACTGTCCAATAAGGATGCTCTTACCAAATCAAATGATGTAAGATCGGAAGCATAAGCTGCCATTTTTTAATACATGGGTGGTGTGGTGAGAGTTACATATATATCATGTGCATATTTATGAACTTATACACAAATCTAAAATGTTTAATTAAACTTAAGGATAATGTTTACGGTAACATTCTGACAAGTAAACATCACATATTTATTCTCCTCTCCCATAGCATGTATTTCACATTTGCAAAATTAACATTTCATATTTTGTAAATATGAAATATATACTACAAAACAGTGAAATATCAAACATCTCATAACGCCATAATGTGAATGTTTTTTTGTCGCAGGTTCACCGAAGCGAGGACCCCCCAGTGGCACAGTGGTATGTCTGTGCTTAATAACAAACAACAACAACAACTCAAGCGAGGTTTGTTTAATTAAACGTAAAGACACTGTTATTAAAACGACTTCTAAAACCCTTGGCATATAATACGAATAAAATGTTTTATAATTTAGAACAATCCCGTTACTTTAACTAACTCTTTTATTCTTCTTAATACTTTTTATTATATATATATGTACATATATATATATTTGTTTTTTGTAGTTAAGTGCAAAGCTGCACTATGGGCTATCTTGTGCTATTCTATGAAAACCCGGTTTTTTTAGGTTATAAACCTTCAGACTTTCCATTGAGCCACTGGGGAGAAGCACTTTTTTTAATCAATAAAGTATTATGAGTAAATTAATAAATTTTATATAGTAGAGTTATTTGATGTTTATCATTTTTTTATTTTCTTTCGAAACACCAAAGTTCATCGGCATAACGTGCAAGATCAATCAGATTACATAAGGTATTGAGCCGACCGCATGTAGTAATAAACTGACCAATCAGGATGCAATCACCAATATCGCCTGATGTAAGAACGGAAGCACAAACTACCATTTTGTAATATAGGGGTGGTGAAAGCTACATTTAAATCATGTACATGTTCAAAACTCATATATATCATACTTAACTCAAAAATATTTACAACCGATGTGATTTAGACATTATATTATACATATTTATTTCATTTTATAAATATTTGTTTTATGATCTCACATTTTTATATTTTGAAAACAACAGCAAACCATATGTCTTTCTATAACTTTGTAATGGTTTGTCCCTTACGTAAATCCGCACTTTCATCTCGACGAAGGAGAAACCGGTTTTAACGCATACAACTGTCTATAAATATAGGTCAAGCATGTTACGAAGACATTGTGTAAATGTCAGCGGAGTAAGGGAAAAGTAAGAATTGAGTCTGTGCAAATTCTTTTTGTAGTGAAATCATCTAAAGGTACATTTTGGCACTACACTATGTTACATCACTTAAATGATATGAGACATAGGCCTACCTTGAAAGTACAAAATTACGAGCCTGGAAAACAGGTACGACAGAAAAGACATCAAGCAGTTGATGATGCATTTACCTGTTCCCAACAGTCTATTCTTAGCGCAATGGATCGGTTCGTAAATTCAGTTACAAATATGGATTCTACTGTACTAGTTCCATCAAGATTACGAGACATGGAAATTGATGGGGGTAACGTAGAGAAACGACCACCACCATCTTTGCCCAAAACAGATCTTTTCAGTTTTTACTGTGTTTTGAATGACATAAAAAACGAACTACTTTGGGGACCTGCCACCAGCGGTACAAGCCTATCGTCGGCCGTTTGTGGGACTGTTGGGCAGCAGTCAAACCAACCCACGAAGTTGACGCGTGACGTTTCAGAAGTTAGCGCTGCAGTTTGCAATGGAAGCTGCACGTCAGACTCCGATAGCCAGGCGGATAATGAAATAGACTGTGTGATCACTGACCCAAATGCACACCTCGCAACAGCATACCGTTATCACCTGCAGGGCCTTCAAACCATTCTGCATCAATTAGCTGATTCTGCAGATTTCCTCTCCTCAAGATATCAGGAAGAAGTAGACGCGTCCTTTTTGCAGAGTAAATTTTAAGATTATTTTTTTAGAGGGGGAGTATAAGTAACTTTTTGTTTAATTTAATTCGGGTAATGATACTAACCACGTGTTTTCATGGTGAGCTATAATTTCATTGAGTTGTGGTGTAAACTTGATCTGTAGCTTGAACTTGAAGTAGATTTTTCAGTTACTGTTTTCGAGAGTTCTTAGTTGTAACTTTAGAGTAAACGGTGCGTAATGGAATTACAACTTACAGTAATACCCAAAGGATACAAATCTGGCAATCTTGAGACCGAATGTAAATCGAGAATAGAATAATTTAGTATAAAAAATTATTTAGAATATGGCGTGGTTTTAACATAAATACATGATATTGGGTTGCTTATGGAAATTACTAGATTCTGAAACTTTAGGATATATTAATATTATGAATTTCCCAGATTTATTACAACAATCGAATCAGAAAGTTAAATTAATTAAATACCATTTTGAAGCTTGCAGAATGTTAGATAAACGAAAATGAGGTTAGATATACTATTAATAATTTTACATCAATAACCTAACCTGAGTTTATAGACCAAGTAACATATTAAGATTTATTTTTGAATGTAGTTGCGTTTTGTGTGTTGTTAACTTTTGTAATTATTTTTCTTGAGTTGATACAGTTCCTAGCTAATATTAATACGTGTCTTATTTTGCTCCTCTGTTAAGAACTGAAGTTATATTGAAGTGTTGTAAACACAAAACGGCTCAATAAACTTGAATTTTGGTTGTTCACTAGTTATTAAATAAAATACAATGTTAACCAAACTAACTGAAAAACCAATTGGTGATAAGCAAGTATATTAGATTCGTTAGAGGAATGTGATTGTCACTTGCAGAAGAATTTTATGATACACTTACCGTATTTTCTTGAATGTGTGTACAAAATTTGACATTTTCTCAAATATGCTCCTTGAAAAACACTAAATACGTTGTATATATGTATGATGTAATGTTGATTCACTTGGCAGTGTCAGTTTCGTATAACGACCTTGCGTAATTAACTGGCTTTATTCATATTATTGTGGTGTATGTATTGTTTTCGTTTCTTATTAAAGTGTTTAAATACATCTCCTTTTGAGATTCAAGTTTTCAAAGAATGTTTTGTTTTCTAGTTCCTTCGTTTTCTGTTAAAGTAATGCATGTCAAACTCTGTTTAGTACGGAACACTCATATTAGAAATATTTAGTCAAAAGTACTTGTGAAACTCGTTAACGAGCTTAGGCAAGTAGCAGAGGACGTCGACGTTATTACATTTATTTAAAAACTACGTTGTCACAGCTAAATGGGCATTTTTCGTGTAGCACCACTTAGTGACGTTTTATTGTATTAACATATGTAACACTAGCGTTTTTGTAGGTTTTTTTTTAACAGAAAATTTGTGTGTGGAAGGAATTCTTTTACACTGGAAGGAAAATTAGGCTACAATTTATCACAGGAAAAATGTATATTATATTGTTACGTCTCCATTCGTTAGTTAATTTTCCGTAAATTCGTTCCGACGCAACTTTAGCGACACAAGTCCTTTCTTAAATAAAACTGGTTTATTCTTTCTGAATATAACTTTGCAATACACTTAATTTCAACAGTCGCGCTATAATTCTCAACGAACGTCTCACGTGCTCGACTTCAACAATACTCAATTCAATAACATACTCCCTGACTGCAGTTCAATTACTCATTGTTCCGTCACGTTGTGACGTCTTGTATATACCAGCCTACCCAAATCTAGAAGTCTCTCGATAATTCACGAAGGTTCGAGAAGGACGTGGTGTGATACTAGTCACGTGACCTCGCTGACGCAACACTGCCCCCTCCTTAGTATTGTTCAGGACGAACAATAGCCACTTACATTAAACCAATAATGATTAACAATAACTTATTTAAATGTACAGAATTACAAACACAAAA